GATACAATGTCTTTTTGTTTTACAAACAGGTAGAATGGAAATGGAAACATGGCTTATATCTGCTACCCTGCTCTAAGACAATTATACAAGAGTATGTCACGATGCTGTACGGCTTTGAACAGCTTTGAGGGCAGACTTGAACAGGAAGACACAGTCAGTCTTTGAGTGAATTGTACTTTGGCTTAATGTCTGTTTTTCGTAAAAAGTTTTAATCATACCCTTGTCTAGTGTGGTAGGCCTGGGCATCGCATAAATTGTCTGCAAGGCAAAGTAAACAAATTACATTTTCTTGAGAAAGAACAGAAACTGGTTTAAAAGATTCAGACCACTTACGTGAATAGCAGGTTAATTTGTATAGTCATAGCCATTTTCCCTTTTCACTTGGAAGGCGTGGGAGAGATGCTGCAGCATGTATGCTGGCATTTTGGCAGTGAGCATGTTCCCAGGAAAATGGAACTGCCCATTCAACATAGGAATGTAAGCTTTACTGAATATATTGCTGATTGTGCCAGACGACTATTCATAAACAGATTAACTTTTGTGTTCCTCAAGCAAAGACCTGTTGTCACTGTTTCTTTCTTGTGAGCCATTTCTGAGCTGTCTTGAGCCAGCAGCATGTCTTCTGGTTTCATTCATATGTTCAGTCAAAGAATGATATTCAAATTGGTTTTCAAAGTGAAAAAACCCACATCTTTTTCATGTATACAGTTTCTTGCCCACGAGTTCATTGAAATGCCTAGATATTAAGATTTCCAGTAAGGGAAGGGTAATTTGGTATACTGGGTCTCTAATTGCTTCTTTTGTTTGAAGATGTCTGTCTTGCATGTCATCCTTTCTCAAATGTGTTCTCTTGGTGCTGAGATGTCCGCTATGGTGTATAAGGAGATTAAATGATGTCCTTAACGTCAGCTTTTAATAGCAGCCGTAGCATTTTATGCTAAGAAGTAGTCAACTCAAAACCAAACTGAAGATGTTAAGCAAATGCAACTGCATCACAATTTGAGAAACCTGACCAAACGTTCAGTGCTCCCGTGGACAGACGCGCTATAGAGTTGCTACTGGAAAACTGTTCTTAACCCTATGTGTGGTGGATGAGAGCAAATGAGAGGATTTAAGCTGTCTCCCCATATAGAGTGTCTTAAAAAAAAAAAAAAAGCAACTGAATTGACAGTTTGATAGGATTCATGATGAGGGGTGAAGGAATGAAGGATCCTCTTCCTTCCTGGAAAACCTTAGGCTAGCAGTATATTTTTCTTTCTTTGAATAGCTTCTGTAATACATCCCTCAGGTAAGATAGGAATGGTTTTTAAAGACTTAATATTTCCTGGGGGGTTTTAAGAAGTAAATGTCATGCTTAATTCCGCCCCTCCCCTGTAATTAAAACAGCTGAACGTACGTGTTTTATCTTTTCTTGACTAAGACCAAGAGTGACAAATGTCAGCCTAAGCAGTTTCTTTCTTTATTTTTTTTTATAATAGCTATAGCTGAATAAATATTGATTTTTCAATGCAAGTTCTACTCTAATGATGGCCATTTAATAGAAGAATCTTAGCAACATCTATTTACTCATGAATTTGGTGCTACACAGTGCTTTTTAGTTTATAAAATTCATGTAGTTTATATAAAGTTAGCCCCACTCCAGTTACCATCTTATTAATGTGAATGTAGAGATGTGGAGAAAGTTCCTATGCTCAAACAAGTAATTGATTTCAGTCTAGCAGTTTTGAGCAGCCATACAGTAACACCCTAATGAACAGAAAACAGATGGTTCTGTTTTCCCCACACAGATTACGATAATTCATAGATGAGCTGTGAAAATACTATTATTGATTTCTCTTTGGCTTGGGTTTTTTGTTAGTTTACAAGTGAAGCAATAATTGAGGAGAAGTTTTTTGTTTTGTTGTTTTGAAACAAGCAGAGTCAGGTACCATGTGCTTTCCTGTTAGTTTCTTGACTGTTGAGGCTTGACATGAAACACTATCAGGAGAATAAAACTGAAAGGTGACATCTCATGCTAATAAAGCAATTAACACTGTGATTTTGCATTCCAGAAGTTAAGACCAAGGCCTGATATTTGCCTGACGCTAGTGAGTGCTTCCCCTGAAGCTGTCAGGACTTTTCTTAGCTGTTTTGTCTTTATCTAGAGCAGTTGTTTTCTACTTGGTTGCAAGGTGGTGGTGGTGGTCAACAGGTATCCTTCCATTAAAGGACTCTTGATGTTGTCCTCAGGAGACAGCTGGATGTGCAGTTGTTGTTCCCTCTTAAAATATCTCTCTTAATGTGTTATAGGCTTTGTGAGGTGAGCTAGCAGAGTCTGGCTGTATACCATTGCCTAGAGTCTGTTCATGGGATTAAATCACATACTGTCCAGACAACTTCTGTCTCTTTTTTTTTTTTTGTTATATGAAAAGTGCAAACTGTCAGTGAGAGGAGTGGTGCCCTGTGTCAGACTATAGTCTCCTTTTGCCTGACATGTTCTTTGAAGTAGAACTTTCCTTTTTCTTTAATCTTAGAAGCTGCATGCCAAGTCTTTACAAATCAGAGAGTATAACCATATTTAAAGTTGAGGTTAAAAGGAGTGAAGTGGGAATACATACTGCTTAGAAATGCAGATTTCATTGCATGTTATTTGCAACAAATTATATATGTAAGTATATATGAAAGGGAGTCCTTGGAGTTCATAGCTGCTTTTATACGTTGTTGGCATTTTGAACTAAATTTGTTTGGCCACCCCTGAGAACTGCATTTGCAATAAGATGCAAAAACTTATGATCAAAATGAAGAATAACCATATATAACCTTTGGCAACAGCATATGGAATAACACTCTTTATTCCTTTGCCAGTTTTGCTTTCCTTTCTGAAACTTCTGCTCTGTATCGGTGTTTGCTGTGAAAATTACCCACGTGTCCATTAAGCTCATTAAGGAGGGAGGCAAAAGAAGTGAGTTTAAAGGAAAAAAAACTTTTATAAATTTAGAATACTTAATAGAGCAAAAAGTCAACATAAATTCTAACTTCTCTTAGGGCCCCTGGTGAATGTCCATACAAAGGTTGAAAAAATCTGCTTTAAGTTCCGATAAGGTGGTCAAGGTGCAGCTAGCCTTGAGCGTTTCTCATGCTACAGATGCTTTGGCTTTAGAAAAATCTTTGAGCTTGTTTTCTTGCAAGGTCCCAGTCACTGCTGCATTCTCCATCCTCTGCTGGCTTGGCGCTGTCAGAGAGGAAAACGGTGCAAGGGAAGAGAAGTTTTGCTTCTCATTAGCAAGCAATGCTTTGTCCTCGGGTATGTATAGGCGTGTATATGTATATGAACAGCAGAAACTCGGCAGCTACCCACCCCCTCCTCTGA